AAATACACATCACATTACATTACATACATTACATTACTGTGCGGGAAACCGGAGCACTTGGAGGAAACCCATATAAACACCCTGATAAAGATTATTATATATCTTAATCTTTACATAGTTGCTGGAAATACAAACCGAACCCTGAGATGTCTGTATTGTTCCACCATTAGTAGAAAGTAGGAAAATTTCAAACTCAGAGTTTCCCGGAATGTCTTGCAGGATATCTGATACACTGAAAAATTATTAAGCGCCAATTTTTGCATTGCAGATTTACCTTTTTTAAATAAATATATTAAACGAATATTCGAAATTAAATTTTTTTTTGGACAGCCCAAATTTAAATCCATGTTCATGGTGGTCAGTGATGGAAAGAGTTTTAAAAAATCATACTTAAGTAAAAGTACCATTACTTGTCTAAAAATGAGCAAGTAGAGTAAAAGTATCTGTTGTAAGTATTACTCAAAGTATGAGTAAAAAGTGGACCTTTCAAAAGTACTCAAGAGTAGTGAGCAGTGAGTATTACGCTGTAAGAAGCTGATTCATTTACATGTAATTTGTGGATGTTTCTAAATGTAACCCTCTGTGGTGCATTTTAATTATTGTCCAGCAGGCACACAACATCATGAGACGTTAATATTAAGTTAGATAGTTGTGATGTCAGGTGACCAAAATTCAATATTCAGCATCTAATGCTGCGTTTACATCAGATGCGGAACGCGCATCAAGCGCAATTGATTTACATGTTAAGTCAATGCAAACGCGCGAATAGACATCCTGGGGCACATTACACGCGAATGGCGTGGCACAAATGATGCGAATTGCGCGAATTGAGCGTTTTGCGCATTTGACACGCTTAAAGCACGTTAACCAATCAGGAGCTTGCTCTTGTGGGGGCGTGATTGTGACTTATCGCCTGTTGTCGGTGTCCCAGGGGAAATCCCCCAGCAGACACTGACAAAAACTTCATTAAACTGGGCTGGGCTCAGTCAGAAGCACCGCTGAAAACCTCCATCAGCTAGGTTCAGTTTCTGGAGGGGTTTATGAGCTTAAAGAGCTGGATATACCTCTGAAAGGATGTAGTGGACTCAGACACGGCCCTAAACGTAACGACGCTGTTTATCATCCTTCATAAAGCACATAAAAACTGTTATTTTCTTCATAAAATCCATGTTAGCCCTTTAGCTATGAAGCTAGAGTCACGGGGCAGACTTGCCCATCACGCCAATCCGTGTCTGTTCTGAAGTGAATTTGATATGCGAATGAAGCGGATTTGACGCGCGAATGAAGCAGGGTTTGATGCGCGAATGAAGCAAGTAACCTCAAATTTTCAAGTGGCTATTTACGCGCGAATAACGCAATTTACCTGCGCGTTCTGCGTCTGTTGTGAACACAGCAAAAGGACAACATTATTTTGATGTCCAATAACGACGTCAAAAGATTTTGACATTTGGTTGATTTTAGGCTGTGACGAAGTGACCAAAATCCAACGTTGAGCCAAAATCTTAAACCAACGTCGTATTGACGTCAAATACTGACATTTATTCATCAGGTATGGCAACCAAAATCCAACATCTGATAGACGACATAGTGCTAATGTTCACACACAAGCTGTAACATCATTAGATGTTGGACATTGACATCGGCCTGTTGTTGTGTTCTGATGCCAACCCGATTTTCATTTTCAAACAAAATGCAACGTCCCCACAATGTTGGGGTACAACATCAATCTGACGTCATGTTGACATCTTGTGTCTGCTAGGTGTTTAAGGCCATTTTAGTCATAATACAGTAAGCATCTGTCATCTTTTCATAGTGACATGCATCTAAACAGTCTCTGGGTCAGTGCGTGTAAAGATTTCTCTTTTGGACACTTTTAATGTTTCCAAACAGTTTGCTGTAATTATAAATTGCCCATGTCTTGAGGTAGTTCTTTATGATGCGATTTACCTTCTATCTGCGATTTAATTAGACAAAAATTACAGGACTGATTTTTCTAATCCCCATAGACAAGAAAAAATAAAGTAGTGACTGCAGGTTGAGATAAAGTAATAGAATAAAAGTACCAGTACAGCACTAAAAATGTACTCAAGGGAAAGTAAAAGTACACATTTATAAAAATACTTAGTAACTTACAATTTTTGAGAAAAACTACTCAATTACAGAAATTTGAGTATTTGTAATTTGTTACTTTACAACACTGAGGTTGGTATTACAGAGTATGTACCTAGCATATTCTCAGCAATTGTGTTTTTATAGAATATTTATTTTCAACTTTTATTTGGTTTAGACAGTAGAGTACAGACAGCAAAAGCCATGTGCACAGAGATAGAGGAACATGACTGACCAGGGACCTCAAGCCAGTAATCAAATGTCTGCAAGGCTACAGCACTGTCGCCAACCATATTCTCAGATATACCAGTCTGGCTTTGTATCGGGTTACATGCTATTCGCATACAGTGTTTATTAAAACAGATGACTGCTCAGTATGTTTAGTTTTGCTCATCTGTGTCTGAGGAGGTTATGGATTGTTATTAAAATCACACAGACCTCTCTGGACTGGTGCAGGTTATTGACTTCTGTAGTATTACAGTAATTGAATGACTTCACAGGCATTTCTTTCTATGATACATGTTGCATTTAAAAGCGTACTAGTAACTCCACAATATAATATCAATTTATTTTCTCAGCGTGCTACTGTAATTACTTAGACAACAGTTCAGTCCTGCTTGACCGAGTATCACTTTAATTTTTTGTAATAGTTGCAGAGAAATCAAACTGCAGTTATCACACACACTCTCTCTCTTTTTCTCTCACACACACTTACTGTATATATGTAGTTTATAAGAACTCTCCATAGATGTAAAGTATTGTATACTGTAATAAACACTCATTTATGGCTTAACTCTACCAGTACCCCTAAACCCAACCCTCATAGGAAACCAGTGCCAAATTTATTGTCAAAAAACCTTCTTAAATATGATATATAATTTACATAAGTTTATAAAATTCTGTAAAACTAATTATTTAAGAAAGCCCTAATAAGTACTCACATATTCTAAAGTGCACTTAGTCAACACACCACATCTCTATTAGCTTGTTTAAATGCAGATGCTGACAAGTTTGTGTTGTGAATATGAAAAAGACTGCGCAGGCTCATTATGAAAACATACCACGTATACATTTCTGGAGAGCATAAATTGTGTAGCCAGAGCTACGTATCGCTCCATTTTGTTTTTAAAATAACCAATACGGGGTGGTATGACGCCGCTGGCTGCTTCTCTTTCTTTTTGTGCTACTAGCTGACTGCTTACCTCTGTTTGGACAACATTAACACTGTTACCAGTTTGTCCAGTAGCGCACCATTTATGTCTGCCGACTTGAGATGCAGAGAGGAGTTGACTGCGAAGACAGGGTTTCAGTCTGATAAAGAACGGTTCCAAAAGGCAGGTAAAACAAAAGGGAAAAAATAAACAAGTAAATAACTGGGTGAGAATGTGGTAAAATTTGAAAACATGGTGAAAATCGACAAAGGTTGCTTTTCAGTGTTTTGAAAACATTATCGGTTGGGTTTAGGTAAGGGGGTGAGTGGGGTATCGATCAATCGGTCAGTCAGTCAGTTGACAGCAGCCTCTGTTGGACTTACATGAGAACAGCAGGCACAAATGCTACTCGTGAAAGAAATTTGAGATCTAAAAAAGCGTACACAATGGCCACACCTGGTGGATTTGCAAAAACTGCAAAAAAATGAATCACTGGGTACATATTTCACGATCTCCAGGAATGTATAGAGGGATACATATCAAATGGGCCTTGGTTGAGCCTGGGTTGAAAAAATTTTTTTTTATTTTATTTTTTTTATTGCATATGACATGTTATGTGATGTTAATTTGCCACTAGCCACTATCACACATAAAAGAGGTGTGTGAAAGCTGTGCCAAGCAAAGCTTTTTGCTTCTTGAGTAGTTTTTTCATCGGATACTTTCTGCTTTTACTCGAGTAACTTTTAAAGTTACCCAAACTCTAATGCTACGGTTACACACTAAGCCGACAGTTGGCCTTTGGGCTCATTGGCCGGAGCTCATTGGCCCGATTTCAGCATGTAGAATCAGTGTCGGTCATCAGCTGATGAGAGCGCTCTGACTGCTTGTTCAGCAATGAATCACAGCACGTGTGTGACAAACTGAAGGGACATATCAAGCAAACAATTTAAACCAAAAAGGATCACAGAGAGGCTGGCTATAATTCTGTTACATTTTTGAAATATTTGCAAATGATATGGAAAATCCTTTTCTGTTGTGGTGACAATTACTTAATGGTACTGAACGATGCTCTTGTTTACGTTTCGTCTGTGTGTGTTTGAAGTTCAGTGTTCCTTTGTGGAACAGACTACTGCACCCCGTGGAGTGGAGAGACATGTCTTCTTGCACAGATGCAGAATGCGGCTCTTGTTTCAGTTGGCTTTCATCCATTTGGTTTATTTAGATGCAAGTTTTTGGTCCAGACCAGATCCCACACGGAGCGACAACACAGTTGGATTTTTTTCCATTAGTATTCAGTATTGGTTTGGCATCAGGTTGTTGTATCCCAGTACTAACCCCTACTGTAAAAAACACTTATTATATGGCCTTAACCCACCCCTACCCCTAAATCCAACCCTTACAGGAAAACTATGGCCAATTTTGATCCTCAAAAGACCCCATTGAGTATGATCTTTAAGCCTTTTGAATTAAGAGACACAAGGCATGTCCTCATAAACAACCTCAATGTTGTCATATCTTAGGTCATACACTTGTCATTATACAAATCTCTGTCCCTGTAAACCCAATCAAACACACACACACACGCACGCACTTTTAATGTCTTTTATGAGTTGCAGAAAATCCAAACCGGAATTTCCACTTGCTCACACACACACACACACACACACACACACACACACACACACACACACACACACACACACACACACAAAACACACGTTCCCATAGTAGCTCAAGTCTTCAGCAGCTCTTCAGCTGCACACACCTCGCACCCACACAGTATTCCTCTGTGAGCCTCATGACAGAGTCTGCTGTCTGAATGTCAAGGACAAAATCAGAAAGCTCCAAGAGAAGGTAAAAAGACAAGTTCTCACTCTTTATGATTAGTCAAGCCCTGAGAGGATGAGGGGTTTGACATTCAAAAGATCCTCTCGTCACACAGTCTGACTGGAATACAAGCTTGTGACATACAGGTGATGGGCAGATCGACTGCAGGGTAAAGCTGTAAAGACTGCTGGTGCAGGCACGACAATGCATATCTTACAGTGTTACTCCTAAATTATTCATTTGCATACATTTAGTGGGTAGTATAGGGTGAGCTTTTAACAAGGGGTTCATATTGTAGGTCTTACAGAAAATGTTAACTCGAGACCTTAAAAGGTCAAACCTTTTTTTATATATATACCTTTTTTATTTATATTCTTTTAATTTATTGTATTTACATATATTACTTATGAATATTTATATTTGTTTATGTATTTAAAATATTTAAAAGCCATTTTAAGAGTTCACATGTAGCTGATGATTGATTATAAAGCTTGTTTGGCATGCTGACCCTGGAGAGAACCCTGAGCTCAAAAGATTTTTTGCCTGCCTATTTATGGCCAACGAAAAATTAGGGATTGATACGAAGAGAAATACTGCTGACTAAGAGCTCATCTATGGTGCCAATTTGGTTAAGTCTGTTCACTTATGTCACATGTCTTTAGACGGTGGGAGGAAACCGGGAAACTCCACAGAGAAATGTCGACTAGCCTGGGAAGGACTTGAACCAGTGACATTCTTACTGTGAGGCAACAGTGCTAACCACTGGGCCGCTGTTCTACCCTCTGTCCTTCCCTATGTCAGAAAAGGGAGGAGGAATAAGGTAAAAGGGAGAATTCTTTAAAATAAAGATGACTGAGGTATGAAAACTATTTAGTATTTTTGGTGACTGAAAAATCGTCTGATTGGTAAATCATGTGTTAAATAATGCAGGACAAGCTGTGGTCAATCATCGTGATCCTCTCGAAATTAGATTATATAAATAAACTTCACTAATATCAAATTTGACTTAAATTTGGCAACCAAATATTTGGCTAAACTTTTCATTTCTCAAAATTTCTTTTAAGATTTATTTTTTAGATACACTTAAACACCCTATTGGTTGGATAACCCAAAAATTACGGTTACAGCACATGTCAATAACCTATTGTTACTTTTGTCAGATGTCACTATTGTAAGGACTTTTTTATTGGGCTATTGATTTCTTTAAACTGATGTCATATGAATTGTAGTTGTAGATAGTTGAAAAGGTCAACCAATCAGATCTGTAACAAAACAAAATCCCCATTTCAAGGGGCGATACACACATTTAAATGTTGTCAATTTCATTTTATAACACTTTTTACAACACAAATTGATTCAAAGCAGCTTTATGTAAATTCCGGATGTCAATAAACTAGCTTCTTTTCATGCTAGATTAATTTTCTGTTAGATAACAGTTCTTTCTACAGAGAAAGATGGTAATTGTGTCTCTAATGCATTAAAAAAGTCACCAAAGTGTGTGTCTTTTGGAAACGTGCCTAGAATAGATTTGCCATACTTTCAGGCAGTCACACATACCAGTTCATACATTGCATGGCTGATTAATTAAACAACTGAAGAACAAGCATGATGTGTTTTCCATTGGCAAGGCAACTGACATACAGAATAAATATAAAACCCTTAAATAAGATGTAGCAAGATACTGTATATACATGTGTTGAGCCACAAACTACAGGGCTTTTGTATATTTAAAATTGTTTTCTTTTGTAAAATCACTTGGAGTCAGCTTTTTCTTTTTCACTAAGGCAATGGAAGCTGATAATAGATTTATGCATCACGCATGAGGTGTGAGATGATGTTGAGTTTTGCTCAGTATTAAAGCAGAGAAAAGCATGTGAAATGTTTGGTGGGACTGTTGTTTAAAGATCATCCCAAGTAAACATCTGTCTTTGAAGAAGCGTGCCACTGCACAGTAATATTAGTGTGTAATTTATTTCCCTCCAGGGCCGCAGCACCTCATGTGTAAGAGAGGTCAACATATGGTGCTGAGCTGTACGGTGTGTATGTGTGTGTATCCGCGTGAACGAGAGGGGAAAACACATGAGCTGTTAAAACAGAGTCAGAATTACATTGGCAAGCAAGCAGGGAGTGTATTACGCATGTACATTGGATGAGTGGCCGAGCGCGTGTCCGCCTCAGTGCAGTGGCTGATGTAATTTACACTGTCACAACAAGAGGCCGGTCGCAGGATGACAGGGGAGCAAGGGAGAGCAAGGCACAGTGATGACTGACCTGTCAGCACTGATCATTTTGTTTGTCATGTGCAGCTTGGTAAAAGACGAGAACCTGTAGAGCTGGAAGGAGACCTGGGCGAGAGTTTCTTCTGGCTGATGGTCATTCGCGGTGAGCGTGATTCGGTCAAGCAGGACATGTTATTGAATCAACATCATATTAACATGGAAGCCAGGGTCTAAAATTAGATCCTGCCAAGTAAGTAAGTAAAGGTCAATGTTTGCAACAATGTTAGTAGCAATTTAGATGGTGACTTTTCTTAATTATTTTAAACAATGCCGGAGCACATGATATGATTCAGCATGATTATCCAACTGTAAATATGTATGTAAATCTGATGTTCCGCATGCTTCAATGGTCTTTTGATTCAAACAGCTTATGATAACAGTGTTTTCAGAGCCTCTGAGCAACTCAGATTGTGTTGACTTAATACTGTGCATGTGAAAGTGCAACACGGACAAAACATCTTTCCAAGTTACAAATGAGAATGTTTAAAAAAAAATCTGTTGTCAACAACATAGAAGTACTCGAGAATATAAATGTTTTCTTGCAGTTTACAGCGAAATAAAATCTCTATGGTTTAAAGATGTTTTAACCAAACACATTTTGCGAATTTCAATGCTATCTGTGAATGTTTTTCGTAACTATGGATTTGGCTTCATAAGATCATTCTGAAAACTTAGCCCTATATACATTTCTGGAGATCGTGTATTATGTATCCAGAAGTACATTGGCTGCATTTCGTCTTTAAAATGAATGCTACGGGGCGCCATGATGTCAATCCTTTTTATATTTATCAGCTGACCGCTTACCTCTGTATGGTCAGCATTCCTGCTGTTACCAATTTTTCCATTAGCTTGCCATGTAAGATGGCGGACTTCAGACATGGAGAGGAGTTGATCACGATGATGGTCAAATGGTACCAGAAAGTGGGTAGGACGTAAGCAGAAGTCAAAAATAATTTAAACGAGTAAATAACTTTAAGACTATGGTAAAATCTGAAAATGGGGTAAAAATCAGGTGAGAGCTTTTTAAAACTGTCGGTTGGGTTTAGAGAAGTGGATGGGCGGGTTAATCTGAGTTTTTGAAAACACTATTGGTTGGGTTTAGGGAAGGAGGAAGATGAGTCAGTCGATAGGTCAGTCAGTCAGTCAGTTCACATCGGCCTCTGGTGGATTTCTGCAAAAACAGCAGCAAGAGAAATTTGAGATCTAAAAAAGCAAACACATTGACTTCTGGTGGATTTGCGAAAACAAAAACTGCAAAAAAAAAAAAACTTACCTCCCGGGACGTTTTTGGCACTTTCCAGAAATGTATGTAGTGGTACGTTTTCAGAATGAGCCTGGGTTAGGATTTGGGATACACAAAATTGTTCAATTATCTTGGTTAATGCTGAAACTTGGTCATTTCTCCTTAGAAAGTAACTGAAAGTGTTAAGAAAATAATCACAAAAATAATCGTTAAGGCACCTTTCCACTGCACACGACATTTGGACACAACTGTTGGAATACGTCCCCTTGTGGCAGTCGCACAGAATTTTCATGACTGAATGTTCTGACGTGCCTTTATTCTTTGTGCGTTTATCATGGTTGAATGAATGAATGAATACTAGAAACTCATAGACCAATAAAAATATTGGAGGGAATGTGGAGACAACATTAAAATAATATTTTTATAACTCATTTATGAATAGAAATGTTTTTTTTTTTAATATAGACTTTTTCTGATTTAAAAAAGAACCAAAAAAAAACTACTATTTCTCATCTCGCGCACATGGACCTGCTTGGACAACACCAGAATACATCACATCCGGTCGACTGGTCGCATACGGTCTAATCGCAGGAGTTCAAATATTTCAATGGATCCGCAGTTCACTTCAGTTCCGAATTTTCCGCATACGGAGATGATCAGAACTCCACGCAGCTCCCGGACTACTCTCCATTGGAAATGAATGACTTCCGGCCTGTCGCTTGTCGTTTGTCATGTGCAGTGGAAACAAGGCTTTAGACTAATTTATGTTAGCATATAACATATTGTCAATATGTTTATTGCAATAATAATAATAATACTATTAAATGTACCTGCAAGCAGCAATTCGGGGCCAAGTAGTCCAGAGCCTGAATGAGCAAGCTAGGCAGCAAACACCAGAAGAACTAATAAAACAACATTTTAAGTAAAATGTTTTAAATGGCTCAACTGCTTATTTCATTTTACTAATAGATGGCACTCTTACCAAATGTGGGAGATGTGGTCAGTGTGAGGAGATTCATTTTGAAGTTTGAAAAATGTTGTTTTTACATCATTACAACATTTTAAACCTTTTGTGTTAGTTTGAATTGGTATGAGCCATAGATCGAGTGAAAAAATTATTTTGATTGTGCTTATGGCTCAAAAGTTATTAGTTTTTAAAATTTGCAAATTTGGAAAAGTAGTGGTGCTAGAGAGTTAGAGGCTCCGAACTGGCTGTGGTTAAGATTGAGGCTATCTGTGTGCCAAACTTTATATGTTTCATGCAAGCGATTATATAGGCTGCCATTCAAATTGTGGCTGAATAAGTGGAATAAAAAAAAAATAAAAATAGGAATGCCAATGCTCCTTGACCCCTAATAATAGTAGTAATAGTACTGCTGCTGGCACTAAAAGGAAAAATAACAGCAATATTTATTCATCCATTTTCCTGCAGCTTAGTCCCTTTATTCATCAGGGGTCGCCAAAGCAGAATGAACCGCCAACTTATCCAGTGTGTGTTTTATGCAGCAGATGCCCTTCTAGCCACCAACCAGTACTGGGTAACACCCATACATTATGGCCAATTTAGCTTATCCAATTCACCTATTGACCTTATTCTCCGCCGATGAGTGGGCGCTGCCATTTGAATCTTTTTGGCTTGAGACTTCCGGTCTCATTCACTTCCATTCATTTTTAGACATTAAAAACTGCTCATTACGCTGCTTGATGTTGCAATTTGACAATTCCTTGTTATATTATTCTACTTGGTCTGTGTAGTCATGCAAACATTTGTTTGTAGACCAAGTAGTTTGACCGTTTTCTGCCATTTATTATTCCTAGTCATTTCTCCCATAGGCTACTGAATCGGAAGTTCTAAGACAATCGCGAAAACAGGCGCACTTCTGCATTTTAGAATAAGGTCAATAGCGCATGTCTTTAAACTGTGGGGGAAACCAGAGCACCAAAAGGAAACCCACGCGAACATGGGGAGAACATGCAAACTCCATGCAGAAATGTTAACTGACTCGGGGCTTGAACCAGCATCCTTCTTGGTGTGAGGCAACAGTGCTATCCAGTAAGCAACCGTGCCACCCTAAACAGCAATATTGCTAATTGTAAAAAAAGATAAAAATAAATATAAAGATAAAGATAAATCTTTTAGTCAATATAATATTTTAATGGAATCTTGACAGGAGTGCATTTCCATGTTCCAACAATAAAAAATACATCATGCTTCCAAAAACAGTACTAAGCTTTATGGTTAATAGAGGGATAAGAGGACCCGAGTGAGAGCAAGTGAAAGACATAGCATCTGGAGACCCGCATGGGGCCGGTTACTATGGCAGTGAGTCTCTCAGGACCTCAGGGAGAGCAGCAGGTTGCATCCTAGTTGAATTAGGCATCATTTTTAATTTGATTCAAAAGGAAATGAGGCTGTTACAGATTTTTATTCTTTTATTAAGACATTTATAAAGGTACTTGTAGATATGTAGACCTAAAATGGAGTCGGAAATATGAGATTTTCTTACAGGACACAAATAAATTGCATTGTTTTATTTAAAAATGTAATTTAGGAACCTATTAATATACAATAATGGTGCAAAATGAATACACATAATAAATAAATATTAATAATTCAAAAAATGGAAAAATCAAAGAAGCTATAGAAAATGTTAAATTAAGTTAATTTATTTGCTGATTGCGTTAAATATATGACGTTACTTAAAAATGACACTTCCCACATATTGCATATAATCTGTATATACTGTATGTGTGATTCTGCACACTGCACAGCTCTTTAATGACTGATGACAGATCGTCTGTACCTTTCGACATGCCATTTTGTGCTAAACAGATCAAACTAAATCCCAGTTTAACAATTCACATGCTTCAAGCAATTACTAATGGGTGACAGATGTGGATTTTAAAATGGGGCCTACAATGTCAGCAAATACAGTGGCAATATTCACAGTATATGAAATCAAAATGGGTGGGTGTTTTAGAAGCGAGATGAGATTTGAGAAACTCCTGCTGTTTTTATAGATTCTCCAGTATATGCATGCAGAAAGGGGCTGATGGATGAGGGTTTTGCACACCCAGGACCAGGTTCAACCTCGCTCTCTGTCCTTTCTCTGATCCCCAAGTAATCACAGCCCTTCCTCCATCATGTTCTCCAAGCGGTTTACTTAATGAAAAAATGCTGTGATCTGTAAATGAAAAGGCTTTGGCGGGTCTCTAATCATTAATCCACGCAGGTTAATATCACACATGCCCGAGAATCAATACGCTTCTTCCTTCTGCAAGCACAGAAAGATTGGCCCAAACTTTTTATTCAGGACTTTTATATAGTGCTTTTTAAACCCTTTTTTATTTTATATGTCCTCACATGCCACTAGCAAATGCTCAGATGAAAAGTGCTGTCCTTATTGAAGCTTTAATTTAGAATAGAATGACTTAATAGTCATTTTATAGTTTTATTATAATCAAGTTGATTTAATGACGGATATCCTTATGAGACGTATGTATAATGTAGTTATTTTCCTGCTTGAATTTAGTTAAAGCAAAAAATATTGTGAGATTGGTTACTTTTTGTTCATCATTTTTATAATAATAATATGTTACTGAAGGCAATTTTTGCACTTCAGATTTTTTAGAATAGTTTGTTATAGTATTTAACAATGAAATGGTGTATTAACATTTTTATTATATATAACATTAACAATTATTTATTTATTTATTTATTTTAATTAATTATAATAATTAAGAATACTTCTGTTTATAAGTAAGTTTTATATAAAGTCTTTATTTTATTGTATGATTTTATATGTTTAATACAACTACTAAATACTGTTATTACAACCCAGGCTCATTCTGATTACATACCTCTATGTACATTTCTGGAGATTGCGAAATACCTTCCAGGTGCTACATTTTTTTGCAGTTTTTGTTTTCGCGAATCCACCAGTGGCCGCTGTGTATGCTTTTTCAGATCTCAAATTTCTACCGCGTGTGCTATTCGTGCCTGCTGTTCTCAAATAAATCCCCCAGAGGCTGCTGTTGACTAACTGACAGACTGACTGATCAACTGACCACAATCCCCACCCTTCCCCTTCTATAAACCCAACCGATATTGTTTTAAAAACGCACCAATTGAGCCACCCACCCACTCTCCTAAAGCCAACCACAGTGTTTTGAAAAGCAATCCAGTAAAAGAAAATCCCACAGATTTTTTTTTTTTTCAGATTTTCAGATTTTACCACATTCTCACCCTATTATTTACTTGTTTATTTAATTTTTTGGCTTCTTTTTGTATCTTACCTGCTTTCTGGAACCGGTTTTCACTGGACTTGAACCCT